CGGTATTGAGAGCACAAGGTAGGTGTAAAGAAACAACCACTCACGCAGTTAACCTAATTATTTCAAATCTGGTGCAAAAACACATGATCGCGCCGGCTCGCCTGGTGCGTTCCAGCCTGGGTTTATATTCGGAACACTCCCCAATGATGTACTCGACAAAATGTTATTTTCCTTCTCAATTTTTTGGGGTTTTTTGACCAGCACTGCATCGGCATAGTGGCCAGCTTTCAGGCGATTCTAGCATTTTTTTCGTCTCTTGAACTGCCGGCCCAGTAACTTTTTCGACAAATGCATTTTGGAGTAGTTTAGCCACTTGGAAATTCAGCGGCGGCCAATTTTACCCTATAATCACGGCTCGTCTTATGGTACTTGGAGTAAGACTGTAATTTTCTCGAAGTTTGACGACCTGGATTTGATAGAAGGCTTTTTATAAAAGATTGTCTCGCATTTCTGTACTTCTCATCGTTCTGGAGTTATATGAAGTGCCAGCTCAAGGATAATTTTTGAAGTGAATTCTCTCAGACACAGGATAATCAAAGATTAGGTTTTTTCCTGCAGCTGCTTGCAAATTCCAAGTTTTGGAAATGTTCAGGTTTCGAAACTTTCATGTAACATCATTGTCTGGGCAGTTTGTGCGCGAATCCAATACTGTCCACGTACCGGACGCAGCTGTTACAGGTCCTCCCATTCTGAGCTACTGGTTTCCAGTTTTAACTCATCGGTAATTATTAAATCGTCAACACTATGACTGCTGCAAAGATATGCGACGTGAAAGAGTCAAAAAATTGAATTTTTAAAGATTGGATAACCTGAATTTTCCCCGCAACTAATGAATAATGTTTCTTATTGAGAGTTAGTGAGAGACAATTTATTGTGAATTTGTGAGTGCTACAAAAATGTCTTCACACATCATCATTTTTCCAGTTTTTAGTTCTTTTCAATTTGGAGTGTTTTTCATTTTTTTTTTCTATTGAAATTTGTTCTAAATTAGTAGTTTTGCATTGTACTGCAGGCACTGAGAAAACTAGAATGGCTGAAATTCTTTCAAAATTCGGTAGAAAAAGTGGTGCCCGCTGGGAATTTTTATGTGAAAAGGGGTGTTATCTTCGATGAGACAAAGTGCTACTGTATGAATTCAAATCCCGGCGACCATTTTCCTCGGTCATTGACACAGTGCCATGAGGAGTGCGGTTTGCGTCTGTGATTTTCCAGAAATTACAGGACTTTAACAATTCATAATTAAGCTATCATGGAAAGTTACTAAAACATTACAATGCGCAAATTGCTGCTTCGTTAATGGTCTACTGAGTGTGTCTGTAACGATTGCATCCTCACAAATTTTCGCACTCTCCGAAGCAATTCATTGCGATCTGTTTCATCCGATGGGACAGATTTGTTGTCTTGTAAGTTTCTCTTTTATTTTTCCTGCATACTGCTAATTTAATTTGATCCTTACGAGCTAGTGCCTGAATTTTCTGGGACAAATGCTTTGATTTTCTGACTATGAAGCTTGCAATTTTCCCAGCCATTTTGACCGATGCTGCATCACTTAGTAGTCAGCCTGTTGCCAACACTAACATTCATTTTGTCTGCTAAGGGGAATAGTAGCTCAGCTATTCTCCCGCCGGAACCACTTGCAAAGCTTTAGTCGTTTTGAGATATCCTCGATGAATATTGCGAATCACAGACTTATCCTAAATGTTGCCATGGCTAAACCACGATAGTATACCTAAAAGATATGAAATGGAAACTGCTGAGTCTGCGGGTGTAGAACTTTGAATGATGCGATAACGTGAATTTACACCCGAAACGTAACTAACCAGTTTTGTCTGAACAAGACTTCCAATTCGTATTAGCCATTTCTGCTGGTAGGCTCAACATCTATTCGCCTTTCGAGAAGAAGCGTGAAGTTACAGTCACATATATGGCTAGTTTTTCCTCATTTCACATTCGCCCCTCGTTTTACTTCTTGTAAAACGTGGAGACACTCGAAAGTAGCGTAAGTCTCACCAACAGCAGCCCAACCATTCGCAGGGTTGTTGCTGGACCACAATTTCGAAGTTTGCTTGTGTGCGAAGTGATGATGGCTTTGACTCTTTGGTTTGCATCAGTCCAATTTATGATTAAAAACAGCAAATTTTTTTTTTAAAAAAAACTGACTTTTGAATGTTTTATCTTTCTGTCACAAATCGTGTTTTAATAAGAACAAGGTCATGGCAATATACGCTTTGTGCAGCAGCTGTACAGCACAAATTGCGCAGTTATATTTAAAGTAGCAATCTTACAAGTGGATCTTCAAAAGTCATGAAAAATTTCTTTTATAATATTTCTTGGTAAGCTTTTCATTTTGTGCAGTCCTATAAGGATTCATTTTGAACGATATTAGTATTTTTAAGGATCTAAAGATTAGTATTCAGCTCTGCTAAATTTTCTACTACTATGTTGACAATTTAAAAATCGGCAGGAAAATCTTTCTGAAGAGCAATGACGTATTGCGGCTGAATCGCCTTTTTGTAAAAATCCATTAGGATCCGATTTCAAACTTTAGCATCTCGCTCTTCGTATGTTTCTGAATCATGCATGACATAATTCAGCAAAACTTCCTTGGCTGCTATATAAAATCCAGACTTGTCGAATATCAGTAGTGTTGTTTCATGATGAAAGTTCTGATTCTGTTTTTCTGACCTATGCTTCCCCAATTTTCCTTCTTGCTTTTGATGGATTAGGATTAATTCGTTTTGATAATTCCCTATCAGACAAATGGATTCTCCGAGTTCGCGTCAACGGCGTAAAGCTTTTGCAAAATTGCACCTATTCAAATTTGGCAAAGCCACAGCTGGTAAGCCGCAAGAAGAGCCTTTGGAAAGGGATAAGCACGGCCTGAGAACTTCCGAAATTTCTGGCGAATCTGTATGTGGCCAGGAATCAAATGCACTCAAAGATTTTACAAATGAGTTGAAAAGTACAGTATCTGAAACTGTTGTTAAATCTTTTTCAAACAGAGGATCAAGGAAAAAAAGACGAAATCTTGACTCAAGAACTTTTGGCTCTCGTCAGCCGTTCAGGAACATTTCATCATGTGGCAGCAGCTTCAGGCGCAACAGTGTCAAAGCGCTGAAAAATGCTTATCATCCGCCTGGAGGGCTGGAGATGATTCTTGCTTCTGTAGATGAATCCTTCAACCTTCATTCTAATCTGATTCGTACAAATGATTCCTGTTCTCGAGATAGTGACAATTCCAAAAATCCGGAACCTGGAATTGAGAGTGGTGGGAATAAAATCGATTCTGTTAACTTTGGAGATAATGCGCGTCTTAGAACAGATATCCCCAAAACCGATGGTAATTTCTCCACTGAGAAAGTTGCTGAAAATGTTAGAGGTCCCAGTGATAAGACAAACAAAACACTGGTGCAACCAAAGCCTTCATTTTCTGGAAAAATTGATCTAAAGGAAGATGAAATTGTGCAGTGGTTAGGCGGCTTGCCTATCATCAACCCAGAAAAGATGCTGAGTTATTTTTGCGGTAAAATGGATCCGAAAATGAGCAAACTGCGCAACAGACAAGAACCGTATACGATTTTTTCTCTTGCAAAACCGGACGAGAGAGTTGAAGACTGGACTAGTGTGAAAGAGCTTCAGGTCAGTAAATGTTTTTCATCTTATTTTGTTGCTAGAAGTTCAGTTAGGCATCGAAACACCGTCATGAGCTGCCTAAGAAGCAAACTGATAGAAGCGAGTTTGTCTTCCTGGCATATGCTACTATCAATCTACCATCGAAAACAAATGAACGAATCGTAGTGGAATTGGTTGTCATATTGGCGGAGTCGAATCTTCAACCAAATGCATTACAATAGCACTTGTTTTCACTGATCGGATGCTGTAGTTATGCAAATTTTAGCTTTGACTTCGTTAGGAAATATGGCATGACACTTGAGCTCAAAATTTGCCGATTTGGACAGGAATACTGCTTTTCAGAGCTCTGACCATTGCTCTCACATACCATGCATCTGCTTTATTGGTCCTGCGTACCAAGCATTTCGCGAGAATGACGGTCGTTTGCTGGGCGGCCACATAAAAATGGCCGAGAAGAATGTATTTTCTTCTCCATGGAATGTGCAAATTTTATTTGTTCGTGCAACAATAATTTGGCGGTATCCGCTGTGTACTATCCCAGCGGTGAATTGGGACAGATTTCTATTCCTCCAACGGCGCATACGCATAAACTTGTCCCTTCCTGGACCTAAAACTGGCGGCTATAACAATTTCTTTAAAGAAAAAACTCGCTGTTTCAAAAAAAAAAAAACCAGCTGTTTGTGGAATCTCACAAAAATGCCATGCGTACGTTCGTTAGTCTTGTTAATTAATTTTATTAATATAAATGTAGAACTGACGATCGAAGGGTCTGGCTTAGCTGCATTTGGTTTCTGAAGGTATTTCAGCAACACCACTAGTATACGATAACCACAGTGATTGTTCGAGCTTGGTGGAATAGTAATAAGTCGCAAGAAACAGATAGTGCTGGAGCGTGAGCTGTTGCAGTTACAGTGCCTCACACCCGCTGTAGCAGCTGTTTGAAAGAAAGATTTAGTTTTTTGCAGTTTTTATTTTTATTTGTTTTTCAAGAAAGAACTCTACGGCACGTGATTTTGATCTTTGTTGGGATTACAACACTTAGCGGTTCGATTGCTGATTTATTGATATCATAAACTGATAGCCATGATGCCGCGGTTCTCTCTATCATGCGGCCAGAAAGCAAAAAAAAATTTTTCGATTGGACAGTGAGCAGCTGGAAGCTCTTATCTTGATCATTTTTGCTTTTCACAATGGAGGCCCAGCCTCTTTTTTTTTTTTTTTTTTAAATTTGTTCAAATTTTCCTTGTTATCGCTGTTACATAAAATGTTGAAAATTGCAGTAGGATTTGAGCTTGGGAAGATACACCTCATTTCTAGATTAGCTTAGTATTCGACTAGAAATAGAATTTCCGAATAGCCTCATGACGTTCAGAAATACTCAAGCTGGTTAGACGTAACTTCTGTTCTTCCATTTAATAAATACCATTTGATTAAGCTGGATCAGAGGGTCTAGCATAGCTCTAGCAGAAGTGTGGAAGCATCTTGGTAAAGTCATTTTTGCCATCCTAGACGACTTGGCATTCTTGAGAATAATTTTACTCCATAAACTTGCACAAAAATTGATTTCGCCCCTAAAGTTTGCGTAAATAATTATTACCTTAAATATTATTGCAATAATATTATTACTTTATTACCACCATTACTTTCGTTACTTTTGTGATTTTATGTATCTAAGAAAAACACATTTTATCCGTCCATCCGCTTGGTCAGTTTTTTGGTGTCGTTATAATAGCTAAAACCTAATTTTGAGTTTTGCTGACTCAAACATTCAGGCATTTTTCGGCGTCAACACAAATAACTCCTGTTCCATCAAAACAGTATCCCTTAAATACCAGAAATTTTTTTTGTTATAACGTTAGTTGGATCCCGTACACTACAGCATATTACACTTCCATACGCTGCGTGTTTTTTTCATCCCGTTCTCTGTGTCTTTCATTCTGCGACATTTGCATATCCATTAGCGCCCCTCGTAACCATTAAAATCGAAAGGGCTATGAAGAGCGGTGTTCCAAGCATTCCCCGGCACATCGGTCCCATCGTTTCACCCAGCCCTTGTTTTGGTGCTCTTCTCTTTCGTTGAACCATATTGAGTGTCGTGGTGCCGGCTAGCTGCCACGAGGGCACTGCAAAATGCACTCGACAAAAGCTCGGTTGGGTTTTGTCCTCTGTTTTGGAATTTAGCGAATCTTGGATCGCTCAGCAACCCTGTATGTTGTATCGTGTTAGCCACTATGGACTGCGTTTGTTCATGTTGGCCATGCGGAAAGTTGTCGCCAAGGAGTGAGGTCCACTTTCACCTTACTTTTTTCAGTGTTTGTTTTCGGGTAATCTCTTTAGGGGACTGGCGATACTTTTGAATGAGGAACACAGGTAGGAGGACTCGCAGTATTTCAGCTCGCCAAAACTACTGAGTTGGCCCCTCGTTTCACTGGGAATGGCGCTGCTTCTTTTTGGTGTCAAAGTGAAATTTCTAGTTTCTGAGAGCCAATTTTTAAACAAAATTTTCATCTCCAAAATGATTTTGGTGCAGTTCTGCTGAAATTTTTCTCTCCAGCTGAAATTCTATTTTCCCTTCTCACCTTGATGAGTCTGGCCACTCTGAACTTGCTAAAAAGTCTACACTTACTATCGCACGATAAGTGCTTCTGTCATGTATGGGACTCTCTTCTTCCTGGGATTTGAAACTCAGGTGTTCTTTTTCA